TGCTGCTTTCAGCCTTAACTGTTTATTTTAGAAGGTGGGACATAACACATATGTATATTATATGACACAGAGAAACACCACAGCCTAGTTCAGATGTATACATGTACATGGTGTGAAAAACGATCTTGCAATTACAGACGGTCTTTGACTTACAACCACAACTGAGCCTTACAATTACAGTTGTTAAGGTGCACTGGTTGTTAAGCAAGCCTTTTATTTTTACTTTATTTTTATTTTATTTTTGCAGCAATTGTTAAGCAAGTGCTGCAGTCATTAAAGTGAATTTATTGTCTACAATGGGCACTTTTTGCCAGAAACCAAAGTAAGCACTGGTTTCTAGCAAAAAAAGTTTTTTTTGCAAAAAAATCATGGCCGTATGACCACGGGATGCTGCAAATGGCCATAAACGTGGGCTGGTTGCCAAGTACTCAAAATGTGATCACGTGACTGCAAGGGGAAGGGCCAGCCATTGGAACTTTCAATCGAGATCATAAGTAGCTCTACGGTCAGTCGTAACTTCAAATAGTCACTGGCTGTAAGTCAAATACCTGTATAGAATTCCACACATACTCCAGGCCGTGCTGTAGATACATCGCCTATTAAAAACATTACTTGCTAAGATTAGAAACTTTGAGTATGTCTTCTGAGGGCACAATCATGTTTAGTCTGGATTTTCCTTCTCACAATCATGTGTAGTCTGGATTTTCCTTCACTGTGTTGTGGTTTGCCAGCAGTCAGTGCAGACAGCAGTGGAATCGTGCAGATGGCAGTGGAGAAGAACAGGGATCAGTCTGGGAATCTGGAAAGGACTCGGGCGAGGGTCCTGCATCCGATGCAGAGATTGGGCCAGGACCATCTGGCAGTAGGGTGCTGCCTTCGGAGTCTGGCAGCAGCAAAGCAGAGGACCCAGGGGAGCCTGTTCCCAGTGCGCGTATGCGCAGAGCTGCTAGAAGGCGAGAGCAGCTGAAACAAAAGGGGTGACTCAGGAGTAAGGCTGGGAGGTGACTGCCTCTCCCATAAGGGATAAAAGTCAGACCTCAATGATGAAACCTTTGCAGGAAGCAAAGTAGTTCGATAGATTCCGAGTCCTCCTGGAAGCTGTGTGTACTCTGGTTAGTTTTTTCTGGTACTTCGGTTGGTTTCTGTTATAGTTAATTGGATACTTATGTTTTTGGCGGCATTCCACAGCACTGTGGTGTGTGTTTATCTTGGGGAACGGTTTATGAATTAGTTCTGGCTGGGAATGAAAGCAATTCCCAGCGTTGTAATAAAATAGGTTTTGCTTTTAAAACAAGTCTGTGATTAATTACATTTGACGAAGCCTTAGTCAGAACACTGGGTCTTCATTTTAGTGATGATCTTCAAAGGATGGAAGGCTGATTCAACCTTTAGCGGGTCAGAATCGAACTGCTGGCAAGTTGGCAGAGTTAGCCTGCAATACTGCGCCACCACAGTTCCAATCACAGGGTTCGTTGAATGACTGTCACAAATGTCATAAAATCTGGTTTATCTTGTGTTGCCTTTGGTTATCTGTGTTCTTGGCATCCTCCCAACCGTGTTGAACTACTGCCGTCCCTTCACGTCTGGAATTCTTTTTCTTGCTTTGCCGGACTAATTACCTCATCTTGCCTTGATTAGAATTATAGTTACAGTTTTTGTTGACCACATTTTGGATTTGATTCTCTGCAGCCAAAGTCTGTTCCTGCGAGAGTTCTTCTCCAACCCAGAAGGCAACCAGGAGATTGGGGGCAAAGTTGGAGCTAATAAAGGGACTCCTACTGATTATCTGACTGTGTTGCCATTGTGCCACGCCCCGGAAGGCAGCTGCCTTCCTAGCACTTCCACTTCCAGAATACGTAAGAACCTGTTTACTCCTGGCTTCTTTTGAGATAAAGGAAAACTGGATCCTTTCCTACGATGGCTGGATTGACGCATTGTTTCTCCTTACCTAAACTACCTACATTCTCCTCTTCCTCCTGCAGGACTTGCCAGGCGACCGGTGGTTGAAGTGGCTGTGTCGGCTTCCCCTCGGGTGCCTGCAAAGACGCCTCTGTCTCCTTCAGACCCATGAATGCCTATAAAGAATAAGAGGCAGCCAAGACCTTCCCATCAGAGATTCTGCTGCAGAAAAACAGGATTAAGGTAAAGCTTCACATTCACTGTAAGATCTGGAACAATTAACATTACAAAAATCAGACCACTGAACAAGGTTTATAGTCAGGGGTGGGCTTCAAAAATTTTAGCAATGGGTTCTCTGCCCGGTTGCTTGGTGGGCGTGGCCTAGCTGGCCTCCTGCACCGTGGCCGGGAGTGTGGGTCATTTTTGCCCTCCCTTTTTCTTTCCTTGAGCCTCCAGGAGGGCGAATACTGCCTGCCCAGGCTCCGGAGGCTCTTTGGAAGCCAGAAACGGGCCCATTTGTGGCCTTTCCGGACTTCCGGGAGGCCCGTTTTTCACTCACCCTGAGCCTCCGTGCGCGCCCTGCACTTATCGGCAGCCAAAACAGATCCACCTGGGGAAAAACTGCTGGTGACCTTCTACCGCTGCACCATAGAGAGTATCTTAACTTACTGCACCTCTGTATGGTTTGCCAATTGCATAGTGGCAGATAGGACAGCACTCCACAGGATTAACGTCATTGCCCAGTGGATCATGGGTTGCCCTCTCCCCTCTTTGGAAGAGCTTTATAGCTCCTGTGGCTTTAAGAAAGTTCAAAATATTCTTAACGATCCATCTCATCCTCGGCACACCCTCTTTTTAAACTATTGCCATCTGGAGGACGGTACAGAATAATAAAAACAAGGACAAATAGGCTGAAAAACAGCTTCTATCCCAGGGCAGTAACTACTGAATTCTACTGTATAGTGCAATATTAAACCAATAACAGGGGTTTTCAATTCAATGTATAGAATGTGAAGGATGTGTGTTTGTGTTTATTTTCATGGTCATAAGCACTGAAGATGGTGCTTATTTCATTGTACGAGGTGCAAGGACAATAAAGTAAACTAACTACAATTATTGTTAAATCTAACGCAATGTTTTTCGACTCTGGCGACTTTACATTGTATGGACTTCAACTCCCAGAATTCCTCATCGAGCACCCTTGGGAATTCTGGGAGTTGGAAGCCCACACACCTTAAAGTTGGCAAGGTTGAAAAACCCAAATCTAAAGGGAACAGGACAAGCGGCCAGGAATAAGTCCTTTATCTTACCCCTCTCCAATCTGGTATCAAGCAAACTGTTTTCACATGGTTGACATACATACCTCTCTCACTGCTGTTTGGGCCATCCCAAATCTTTCGGAAGGAAATAATGGGCTGGGGTGGCTCGAGGATTTGATTTCAGGTCCTGAAGGTGAAAATCAAGGCATTTACAATAAGAACATATTTACCCCTTCCCTCTTCGGTTTTTAGAAATATAAACAGCAAAAAAGATTTGTCATTTTTAAAGTACTGAGTAAGACAGAATCCTCGCTGTTCTATTTTTATAGCGGTGGGAAGACCCCCTAATCTTGAAACCTGTGTATAACAAACGTTTACATTTTGGGTGCCTGGTTGCTTTTAGATCTAAGGGCCGCCAATCAGGAAAGGTTTGGGGAACTCTGATCTAGAATAGAAATACATTAAAAATCCTCCAGAAAACAGTCCAAGGCAAGATCTAGCCTTAAGATTTTGGCTCCCTGGCCTCTCAGCAAATATAAATACAGCGGCTGCGTTTTCTCTCTCTGGAGTTTCCTTACCCAGCATGCTGATTTCCACTTCTTCATTTTCTCTCTTCACAGCCTCCAAGGTCTCTTTCTCTGAATATAAGAAATCGACATGTTCTTCATTCATTGAGCCCTGAAAGAGTAACACACTCCTTCTCACAACAATGGGACTCCTTTTGCTCACCACCACACAAAAGTCTCTCGGGGTCGCCCGAGGCCCACAAGGATGGTTGAAAGGTCATCCAAGCTACGGTATTAACCTAGTCCTCAGTTTTGGATTAATACGGGTGGCCCTCAATCTATAGCAATAGAACTTACAGTAGGCTTATATACCGCTTTATAGCGCTTTACAGCCTTCTCTAAGTGGTTTACAGCAGGGGTCGCCAACCTTTTAGACCTCAGGGACCACCAAACTCATAATTTTAAATCCCAGGGACCATTAACCGGCTCTGTGGGTGTGGCCTAATTTGTGGGTGTGGCTTAGTGGTCATGTGACTGGCTGGGCATGGCTTGTATGTAAATATTATATATATTCATATAAATATTGAATTTTTTATAAAAAAAGAGCAACTTTTACCAAAAATCAGGCAAAGCAGGCAGGCAGATTGAGCTGCTCACAGAATCACAGATTCATTCAGAGATCTATCTATCTGCCATTGGCTAGCTCAGTCTGTCACATAAAATTTGCTTGCCGTGAGTCTGCACTAAATAATAGAACCTTCAGTCCTAAAGGAGGTTCGGCTGTGCTTAAAAGCAGAGCTGAAGATCTAAAGACTAGCTAGAAAGCTAGAAATCTAACCATTTCCTGCTTCCTAGCTAATCTAAAACTCCCAGCACAGCAGAACAGCTGATGGTCAGGGGGAAAAAAAAGAAAAATAGCAATTTAGCAGGCCGGTTTTTTGGTAAGGAGTGAGTGGACAGGGGAGGGTTCCCGTGGGCCATGTGGGCGGCGCAGCCTTGTGTTTCTGTCCAGCTTGCATGAATTGCTTTGGGGGATGCTCTGGGGGTGAGATTTCTCTGCGGGCCAGCAAAATTTTCTCACAGCCCACCAGTGGGCCATGGCCCACTGGTGGGCGACCGCTGGTTTACAGAGTGTCACCCCCAACGATCTGGGTCCTCATTTTACCCACCTCGGAAGGATGGAACCTTGAGCCTGGTGGGATTTGAATTGCAAAATTGCAGGCAGCCGGCAGAAGTAGCCAGCTGCCTGCAGTACTGCATTCTAACCACTGCGCCACTACGGCTCTTATGACCACAAATGACCCCCAAATTTCTGTTGCTAAGACCGTTAAATGAGTTTTGCTCCCTTTTATACAAACTTTCTTGCCACAATGGTTAAGTGAATCACTTGGTTGTTAAGCAAATCAGACTTCCTCCATCGACTTGGCTTCTTGGAAGCCAGCTGTGAAGGTTTATAGATGTTGATCACCTGACCCCAGGACAGTGCAATTGTCCTAAATACACAGCAGTTGCCAAACGTCCAAATTTTGATCGTGCGGATATGGGGATGTTGCAACATCGTAACTGTGAAACATGGTCATAATGGCACTGCCATTGTCACTTTGAATTATCAGTAAATAAATGGGTCCGAAGTCAAGGACTATCTGTATTCTTCATATCCCTCTACTGTGGTGGTTTGTAAGCTGTTTGACCCAATTACTCCATTTTATGGACTCTATTAACTCCATAAAAAAACAAAAGACAAGGAATTATAAATTGTTCTTTTACCCTGACGATATGATATAGGTCCATGATGGTGAACCTATAGCACACATGCCATAGGTGGCACACAGAGCCATTTGTGCTGGCACGTGAACCACAGGCAAACTTACCTCACTGAGCATGCATGCGCCTCACAGATGATTTTCGGCCTCCCAGAGGCTTGAGGAAAGCCTTTGCAGGCTGAAAAATAGGCCTATTTTGTCACTTCCTGTATTTCAGGAAGTGATGAAACGGGCCCATTTTTTGGCCTGCAAAGCCTGCAGAGGTTTTCCTCAAGCCTCTGGGAGGCTGAAAAAGGCCTCAAATATAGTGCAGGTAAGGGGCGGGGGCGGGCCGGATTGCATGCGCAGGGGGCATGGAGAGGCACGTGCGCATTGCCTTCTGGGTGCTGGCACGCGAGCATGCGAGACGCAAGCACGTGCACAATTTTGGGCATAGGAGTCCAAAAAGGTTAGCCACCACTGATATAGGTGGCCCTTAAACTTAAATTTAGTCAACATTCAAAGTTAAAGACACTGAAAAAATTGACTTATGACTGTTCTGTAGAGAGTCTCAGTCTGTCAGGTGAGGTTCCATTCAAAATCCAAGAAATAAAACCTTAAGACTCCACTGTCATAGAGAAAAGTACTTTTACTGAAAAATTGAAGTGGTAGCATCAGAAGAAATACAAGAACTGAGGCAAAATAGGCGCGAAAATCACATATACAAAGTTATGCCAATGTTCCCACCCCCAATAATTCAAACTGGCCATCCAATCTGAGATGTGTATAATGTCATGTGGGGCAACTTGTAAGGAGCCTCTGTGGCGCAGTGGTTAGAGTGCAGTCCTGCAAGCTACTTCTGCAGCCAGCTGCCTACAATTTGGTAGTTCAAATCCCACCAGGCACAAGGTTGACTCAGCCTTCCATCTTTTCGAGGTGGGTAAAATGAGGACCCAAGATTGTCTTTGGGACCCTGCAAGGCATCCTGCTCCAAGAGGCTGCACCAGCGAAGACTTATTTCTGGCGGAGTTTGGAGGAGAGAAAGAAAGACTTCTGCTGCTTTCCTTGCATGAAGCCAAAAGTCTCTCTCTCTCTCTCTCTCCCCCTGAGAACGGAGCTGGAGACGGTATCCTGCGATCCCAAATAAAGAATGAACGATCAGTAGGAAAATGGGGTGGGGAATTTTCCTGCAGACTTTTTGGGGGATTTTCCCAGGGTCTCTGGTCCACGGGATTTAAAATTATGAGTTTAGTGGTCCCTGAGGTCCAAAGGTTGGTGACCCCTAGGGTAGAGGACTGCCTGTGTATTGTCAAACCTACCTGGTACGACCCTGATTTGGCGTCTTGTTGGTTCCTCAGGAAGTCCTCCACCAGGACCACCGCCTGGGAAGACGTCTCGGGTCTTCCCACTTGAACCCAGCTTTGGAGCTTCGGAGGCAGGCTGGCCAGGAATTGCTCCAGGATCAAGAGCTCCAGGATCTGCTCTTTGGAGCGCCTCTGCGGTTTCAGCCACTGGCAGCAAAGCTCCTGAAGTTGGCTCTGAACCCTTCGTGGGTCTTCCACCTCCTGGCAGCAGAACCGCCTGAAGCGTTGACGCTGGGCCTCCATTTTGGTGGCTTCCCCTTTCAAGATGGCGGCCTTCACCTTCCCATAGTTCTCCCGCTCTCCCATTTCCAGCTTCTGAAAGGCCTCTTCGGCTTCTCCACTTAAAGCCGGCAGGAGACATGCCACCCACTTTTCTCTGGGCCACCGGCAGGCTTGGGCCACCTGCTCGAAGTTGGCCAGGAAGATCTTGGGGTCTTCCCAGGGAGAAGCTTCCGACATCTTGGATTTGCCTTGTCCTGGGTGAACTGGCTGCAGTGTCTTGAGGAACTGCTGCCACTGTGTCTCCCAGCGCTCCTCCATCCCAACGAACGGGGCCCTCTCGTTCCTCTCAAATGCGCCCCATCCTCCTTCTTCAGACGTAAACTGAGGCTGGATTGCAGAGGGGAGTTTTCCAGCTGCTTCTGGTCCTTCTTCTGGATTTAAGACTTGTTTCTCCATGGCCGAGTTATCTGCTCTCAGCCCTCTCAAATCTAAAGGAAGAACATGTTCAAAGTGGATCATTTGGTTATTATCATTTTAACTTTTAACACTATGCCGCATTTTAGGGACCCCTCTAACCTTAGAAAAAAGTATTTTTGGAAAAAAACAGGCTGTTTTTCCTGTACAGGTAGATTATCACTCAGTGACTGTTCAAAGTTACAATCAAGATTCAAAATTCTGACAATCGCCCCCTCAGCATTCATATAAACAAACTTCGCAACACGGCTCCATGTATCCATATTTGCAGTGTCCTGTAGTCGTGAGACTGGGTTTTATGACAGTTTCGCTCAAAACTTCACATCTACCAAACCACTGAGTCATTTAATGACCATGGTGTTTGCTTAATGACCACGGCAGTCACAACTGCCAGGATTGCTTAGTAACCACTGCAAAAAAATATCATAAAATTAGGTTGTTATGTGACCGACCTATTTTATGACTGCCACAATTTAGGACTGTGATGAACAGGTTCCATTATGGTTCCACGTCTTAATCTATCTTTACAAAGCTTTTTTCCCATCTTTACAAAGCAACTCCTTCCGCTCTCCTCAATTAAAAAAACATCAAACCAGATTTCACCAAGAAGCTGTAATCAAACCTGTAAATCAGCTGTAGATAGAATATTCATTTAAATAATCTAAAGAATTTTGGGGGCAGAAAGGGGATAGAAAACACTGTAAGATATATATTTAATCAGAAATGATCTTCTGGCTCCCGTTAACCTGGTTTTATTCATCTCTGGATTCTATTCGTTCTCTCTAACAGCATCATCTGACCTGGGGTTTTGGAAAGCTTTAAAAAAAAGCCAGGGTATGGTCCAAAGATTGCAGGATCCAATCTGGTTACCATATGAAGATAAAATCATGCATTGCAAAAATTGCTTGGACGTGGGAGATCTAATGTAATCCCTGCATGGGTTGCCCCTGTAGAGTTGATGTAGGACAGGTGGGAAGGGAGATAACCACAGAATAGAATAGAATAGAATAGAATAGAATAGAATAGAATAGAATAGAATAGGATAGGATAGAATAGGAATAGAATACTTTATTGGCCAAGTGTGATTGGACACACCAGGAATTTGTCTTGGTGTAAATACTCTCAGTATACATAAAAGAAAAGAGAAAAGAATGCAAGAACACAAGGTCAGACAAGGAGACCCAAACTCATTGGTAGTCTCACACTGCAATGAACATACGTTCAATTTCGCAGCTATTCAGATTGTTGGCTGAGCAGGTTCAAAGATAGCCAGGGAAATCATTGAAGCCTGAGTAACCAGCCCCTTTGTCAGTCAACAGCCAGCCCAAAGTACTGGCTCCTCAAGAACCAGACTGGCTCCAGCAACAAGTCCAAAAGCTCGAAAGAGTACATCTTGAAACCCACTGACGGATCCCGACTGGATCCTGCAACATTATCCAGAGATGCTTACATTTTCCTTCATTAATGTTTATTATTTAATAGGTCCTATTTTATTCTGTTGATTTTGATGTTAAGATTATTTTAGCCTGAATATTATAGCTGTTTTCTCTGGTTTTGTATGCCACCAAAGTCCAGTGGAGTTGGGTGGCTAATAGATTTAAATCAATCAATCAATCAATCAAATCTATCGGATTTGCAGGCTGCAGCAAACAACTGACCCCAGAGCAGCGTCCAATTCCCCAAATCCATCATTTGGGATTAAAAACACAAAGAATCCGAATTGAAAACCGAAACTATAATAAGGAACTAAGAAAGGAGTGGGGGGTGGAATCCACATTAAGTTCCAATAAATCTACTCTCTCCCCCCAACCCGAGGAAGAGCTCCTTGCGTTTCCCCTCCGAATAAAAACCGATTTTCCGACCATTCCGATAGGAAAGACAAAACTTTTTAAAGCACAAAACCCTTCACCACTTTTATAGTTGATCACCGCCCCCCACTCCAAGATAGCAACCACATAAATCATTGTTGGTGAGGTTCAGGCTTAACCTTTTCCTTTTATGCCCCACTCCGGGAAGGGTATCCCCAAAGCCAATTCTGGTCCCTTCTCTCCCCGAAAAGTCAAGGAGGCAGAGAAGGGGGGGCTTTGCTTCCAGCCGGAGGGGGGGGGGGGGTCACCGAAAAAAGCTCCGCAGCGATGGGCCAGCCCGGGAGAGCGAGGACGGAGGAGGGTGGGGGCCACCCCCCATGTTCCCCGGCGCCGAGACCCCCGAGCTGCATGCTAAACTGCAAGGAATACAATGCAATGCAATGCAATGCATGAAATGCAAGGAATGCAATGCAATGCAATGAAATGCCTGTATGCGATGCACGTAGCCCAGATCCCCTCCCCTCTTTTGCTTCGAGAGACCAGGCGAACCGAGCCTGGAGCGGGCTCCCCAAAACGGAGAAGGGGGGGAGGGAGAGGCCTCCCCGTGCAAGGCTGCCCCCGCGGCTACTCCCCCCCCCCCCATGCAGAATCGCAAAGAGAGGGGAAGCGGCCCCGCTGCAACCGCAGCGACCGCGGAGGCCGGAGGAGGAGCCCCCTACCGCAAGCAGACGAACGTTTTCCCCCCCGGACCCTTTCCGGGCAGCCCCTTCACTCCTTTTTCCTCCTTCGCTCCTCCGCCTTCCCTTCGCTGTGAACCGGCGGAAGAGCGTCCTCGGGCGCCCCCTCTCGGATCCCGCCTTCCAGACACCCCGAAAAGAAACAAAACCAAGGGACGAAGGGGCCCAGCTTGGGTGGGCTTCGCCTCGCTTTTCGGAGGTGGCCGCACCGTCCCAGTGGGCTTTTACCTGGGGAGGAGCTAAAGGGCGAGAAGGTGCAAGACTTTCCCGCCGAAAAGTGAACCTCAATCTGAAGAGAGCTGGAAGTCCAGCCCGCTGCTGAAGCAGGAGGCTCTAGTCTAGTCTTATACCATCCTGACTGTTTGGATTCCCCTCATGGGTGTCTCTGCTGATCAAAAAAGATCAAGGAGGCGTTTTCCGGTTTGTCGGCTTCGCGAGCGGCAGGGATTTGCGAAGCTGCGCGATCCCTGCCGCGCTAGCCGTTTTTGGGGCTCCGACCCAGCCGGGTACGGAGCTAGGCTGCCCTGCAGGGGCAGCTGAAGGTAGGGGGGATCCGGAGAAGGGTTTGGGGGTGCTGCAGACCCCCTCCCTGGCCGGCAGAACTCCCTTTTCCCAGGACGGTGCAGCGGCGGTCTGTAATGGCCGCCACAAAGAAGCTGGCAGCCGGGTAAGAATGCGCAGGAGGAAGTGGAGAAAGTGATTGAGAGGAGAAAGTTTTTCTTGGCTCCTAGGATTCTAAGACATATCTAATAAAATTCCTGAAAAGTATGACTTTCTGAATTATACCTGCCAGAAGAGGAAAAAAGCGGCTGTGAAGGTGCTGAAAGGATAGCTTTCCCTCTTTTCCTACGGAATAAATAACTGGATATTAAGAAACCTATTTCTTTTAGGTGAAAATTGATTTTAAGCGATGAGTGGGAAGAGAGAGGATTAAAAAGAAAACATTTGTATGCTAAGATTTGTTGGAGCAGATGCCTTAAGGATTTGAAGACTAGAATATATTGCAATAAGATTTTAAACAGATTTGGACTTTCTTTCTCTTGGATTGATATTGCCCCAGAAGGAGAAAGTGAGAATTCTGCCTTGGTTTGGACTGACTGATAACTTTGGGACTGTTTTATTTTTTTTTTTATTTTCTTTTGAATATTCTGGTTGTTGTAAGAAGAAAGAAGGGGAAAAGAAAAGAAAAGATTTATAATGGCTCTTTCTGTTGAGGAACTAAGAAAAGAATATGAACAAGCAAAAAAAAATGGTAAAGATGGTGTGGAAGAAGCTTTCCTTTTCTTAGAAATGGCGCTTATTAATTATCAACAAACATTACAACAGATGAAGACAGCAGAGGAACAAGAAAGAAAGAAAGGAGCCATCTTTAATGAATCTCAGAACTTGATCCAGAAAGAAGGAAGAGAGAAAGAAAAGAAAAGAAGAGAAAAGAAGAAAATTAAAGGACTTAAGGACTTAAGATCTAAAAAAACATTTAAGAAAGGGAAAAATAAGGTGCAAAACCAATATGATGATAGTAAACAAAAGGGAAAAGGAATACGACAGAGAAGGGAAGCTGGCAAGGCAGAGGCTAGAAGAAGGGGGGGTAGAAAGGTTTGTTGGGAGAAGAAAGAAAGGGAAAAGGTGGAGAAAAGCTACAATGTCTTGAAATTAAATGAAAAAAAGAAGCTTTTTTTGGATAATGGATAAAGTATATTTTTTTTTTTTAAAAAAAAGATTTTGCAAGGTACATAAGATGAGATGGTAGTATTGTAATGATTTAAGAGTTGATAAGAGATTAAAATGTTAAAATGTTTAAAAATGATTGGCTTTAAAACTTAATAATAGGGGAGGTTTAGAATATTGTTTTAATTAAAGAGTTTAATAAGACTATGGTATTGATGTTATTATAAAATTTTTATTATAGTATCTTTTTTTAATATTTGGATTTATTGTCTAATTATGTACTTAATTATGTTGGGTGTATTAGTTAGATAGAATGTACCAAGCAAAATCGGATTGGGTATTAGATATTATTTTAAAGATTAATTTGATTAACTTAGGGGGGAGATAGAAAGGCATCAGACTCTGATTAATGATTTCAGGAGAAACTTATTTTCTTTTTTTTTTATAAGGAATGAGACAAAGGGATGATAAAAAATGGACAAAAGATATAAATATAATGATTCAAATTAAGATGATTAATTAAGATAGAAGTAAGAAGTGTGAAATATGTGGGGAAGTTAATATAGAAGGCTTAGAATGGTAAATAAAATAAGTAATGATATGTAAGATGAGCATGAATATAATTGAAGTCCATGAAGAGAGAGACACCTGGGTCCAAGTTACTTTCCAAAAAGATTTTTTTTTATGTTTTGTGTGTTGTGTGTATATGTCTTTTTGGGGGGAGAATTAGTTAAAAATTGTAGAAATATAGATTGAGAATAATGGTAACTAAGTCAGAAAGAAACAGATGAAATAATAATAATGATATTGAATAAGACTAAAGAGAAGTAAAGAGAAATTGAATAAGAGGTTTTGGTATGTTGTATGGAAATGGTTTAAAACAGAATTATAATTTATCTGACTTGTTAAATTGACAATGAAAAAAGGTTTAAACATGTAATGAATAATGACAATTTGTGTGTTTTAAAAATTAATAAAACTTGTTTAAAAAAAAAAAAAAAAAAAAAGATCAAGGAGAATCATATAATAACAGAGTTGGAAGGGACCAGATAGGCTCAAGATCCAGATGGATCTTGACAGACTAGAACACTGGG